CATAATAAAATAAAATCCCTTCCTCCCTCTTATGTTTCAGAAAATCAAGTTCATGGTCTCTTACAGCTGTAAAGGACTTTACAAGTTGCCTAGTTTAGTGGATCCCGATCTTTCAGATTTCACACAATAGAGAAAGGCTTTTGTTTGTTGTTATTTGTGATTATTTTAGTGAGGTGGTTTACATTGCAATTGTCACCTTTTTAATTGTGTCAAGATAGGTCATTTTAACAATGAAAAAACAAAACAAAAACAAACATTTCCCATCCTATCATCATGATTTCATAAAAGATAGAGAACATTTTAACACTAAAAAACTTGGAAATAATGCCCAAAGCTTCCCCTTGTCCCCTCCCACCCCTGTCCTAGCCCCCAGGGGTCAGGCCTCATCGACAGGTGGTGGAGATGGATGAAGCTTTTTGTTCCTCCAGCCTGACTGGAGCCCTGGTGGCTCAACGGTTGAGTGCCCGGCTGCTAACCCAGAAGTTGGCTGTATGAACCCACCTAGTGGCTCCACGGGAGAAAGACCTGTCGATCTATTTCTGTACAGATTACAGCCAAGAAAATCTTATGAGGCAGTTCTACTCTCACATGGGGTTGCTATGGGTCGAAATTGACTCGAGGGCATCTAACAACAACCAGCCTGAGAGGTGGAATGGCTTCCTGCCGTTGCCAGTCTTTTGTGGCTCATCATCAGCCCTTATTTTTCTTCTCAGCTCTTCTGTACCTGTAATGAATTCCAAATGTGGAAATACTGGATTCTGTTTGCCTGATTGGACCCTGGCAGGTACATTGAAAACGTGTTGACTCATTTAATCTTACAATAACACTATGAGGTAGGCACTACTATTTTCCATTTTTCAAAGACTCTAAGGGAAGTTAAGTGACCTGACCAGGGTCACACAGCTTGTAAGTGACATTAACCAAAAAACCAAACCCACTGCCGTCAAGTCAGTTGTGACTCATAGTGACATGAAACCAAACCAAACCCGTTGTGGTTGAATCCATTCTGACTCATAGCGACCCTATAGGACAGAGTAGAACTGCTCCATAGGATTTCCAAGGAGCGGCTGGTGAATTTGAAAAGCCGACCTTTTTTTGGTTAGCCGCCAAGCTCTTAACCACTGCGCCACCAGGGCTCCCATAGTGACATTAAATAAAAAAAAAAAAAACACCTGTTGACATCAAGTTGATTCCGACTCATAGTTGAATTCCAAAAATAAGTTAGGAAACCCTAACATCTGAACTCCCCCCTTCTTTGCCTACCTATACATCTTGATCTTAATTTCTCTTAGAACCTTCATATCACAGTTCTTCATGTGTCTGTTGGTGTTATCTCAGTCAACTGTGATTTCTGGATATGAGGGGTGTCTCACTTTCTCAATTTTTTGCCTCAGAGACAGCATGTTTTTTTCACTCATGTGTTTGAATGAGTAAGTGAAATATAAACACACCTTTCCAAACAAGACCACATAGACCAGGAAAGAGTTTTTCCTAAGAATCCGGTTCTGCATTCCTCTTTGCTGGTTATCTCTGGGTAAGCTCATCAGAAGAGCCTGTAGGCTTCTGAGCTCATTAGCATATTGAGTGTGGCATCAAAACATCAGGCTTTACTCTTAAGGAACGGTGATTTAAGGTAAATCAGGTTTGCAGATTTGCTAGGGGTGTGCGTTTGGGGTTGGGAGGGAAATGACCACCGTCATAGCAACGATAATAAACTAAAGAAATGTAGCTTTAGAAATGTTACTCAAAAACTTGTGCCCACTGCACACGTTTTTTTGAGTAGTGCCAGATTGCTTTCAGCAAAAAAAAAAAAAAAAATCAATCTTATATTCATAAATTGTCAGATATTGCAGAAGTAATGAAAAGAAAGTTCAAATGTAGAAATTCATAATTTGTCATGAGTTGGGCAGATAGGGCCATCTGGTATCTAGTTGTATAACCACACTTTTTTTTTTTTTTAAACCTCACTAATAGTGTGAACCGGTTAGCTTTACTAAAACAAACCACTCTTTAGACTTTCTTAGGGGTACATTTTGAGGAGCTTGGCTCATTCCTGAATTTAAGGTTCCTCAAAGCCATTATAACTGTGCTACACAAGGGCCTGCCCTTTGAGAGACCTTAGTAAGAGCAAAGTCAAAACTATATGCAAGCTAGAAGTTATGGATGCGGGGGGCGGGGGGGCGGGGTGGAAGCAAAAGCTATGAGTAGACAGAAGAAGCAAGTGAGGAGAAAACAGAAGATGCAGCCCAAGAGCAGAGGGAGTTGGTGGGGATGAGGGAGTGGTGGCAAGAGACCATGAAACCCATCAGAGAGAAAAAAATGGGCCTGTCTTTGGGATCCCTCAGGCCCTGCTAATATTCTGGTTCATATGCACCCTAACCATAAACTCTTGAATGAGTCTTTAGTTTTTGATGACTAAAACAGTATCAGTTTTTGTGAAGTCAAAAGAATATAAACCCTAGAATCTGGCTTGCTAATCCTCACAAGTCCCCAAATGCCTGTATGTCTTACTTTTTAAGCCTTTTGATAAAGCCCAACAAATAAGATGTAAGGAGAGGGCGAATCAGATGAAGTCATGATAATCACTTGGGACCATTATTGGCGTCTGGGCCACCCACCCAGACTCCTTACTGATCCATGTGTCTCATCTGCAGAGATGGGCTAGGAATTCAAGAGGCAGGTGCACTGGAACAATCCTACAGAACCTGTGGCTGAAGCCAACAGGGTGCAAGTACCACTACGTAGTCTCCTGCTAGAAATGGGCTCTTCAGCACCTTAAATACATCTCAGCATTTGATTCACCAGTTAGTAATTTTTCCATATACTGTTAGTGCAGATCAGAGGTTCTCAGCTGGGGATGATTTTGCCCCACCCCCGGGGGACATTTGACAACCTCAGGAGATAACTTTTGGTTATCATAATTGGGGAAGCATTCACATCTAGTGGGTAGAGACCATGGATGCTGCTAAACAACCCACAATGCACAAAAGAGCCTCTCACAACAAACAATTATCTGGCCCCAAAGGTCAGTAGCACTGAGGTTGAGAAACCTAAGGCAGGAGAGGCCTTTGAGAGAATTGTCAAAGTGGTAGTAGCAGTAGAAGGTTGACCTAGAGCTTGAGAATTCTACCAGGGAGACCGCTACCCAGTTTGGAGAGGGCACCATACTGTAGTACCACCTGTGGCCTGATGTCAAGTCGGACGCAACAAGGCACCAGTAGAGGCTCTGGTGGTGGTTGTTAGCTGCCATCAAATGCCCCTCGCCTCCCATGGTGATCCCATGTATTACAGAGTAGAACTCTTCCATAGGGTTTTCTTGGTTGTTATCTTTACAAAAGCAGTTTGCCAGGGCTTTCGTTCACATAGCCACTGAGTGAATTCGAACCACCAACCTTCAGGTTAGTAGTTGAGCACAAACTTCTTGTACCACGCAGGCTCCTCTGGTCAGGGGTGACCCAAGATAATTATCTTAACAGTCAGTCTTTGAGAAGCATAGCACAGGCCACAGATAATTATTGGAGATACTGAGGCTAATCAGTTTGTCCCCATTCATCCCCCTTCCCACCACCAGGGGACTTAAAGACCTAATTTCCTATTCATATCAAAGGAACAAGTGGGTTTGGGTAAGAGAAGAGGGTGTAAACTGGGGTGAGCAGAGGAGCAGCAGATTAATATACATACGTAATAACTTATTTAAATAGACGTGGATTTGGAAAAAAAATCATGTTTCGATAGGTTTGCGATGGAATAGCAGGTGTGTTAAAATGTGATTTTGGTTTGGCAATATCAAAGGAAAACAAGTCTCTCCCCTAAACAGCATGCAGAGCAGGAATTCTAAAGCAATACCAAATTTCAGGACTTAAAAAGACAAAAAGCAACGCTGCTCTGCTTACAATACTTTTTTTTTTTTTTTTCTGAGACCTAGGCCAGAGAAATCATGGTCAGCAGATTTCCCTGTAACACAGGGCTGGGAGCTAAGTTGCAATGGGGGAATGTTTTGGAAAACTCCATAACCAAGGCCAAGTTGAAGACATGCTTCAGGTTTTTTACACAGTACATTTATAGGATGCTTGTCAGTGCTCCAGGGCCCTGGTGGTGTAGTAAAGAGCTCCGCTGCTAACCAAAAGGTCGGCAGTACGAATCCACCAGCTGCTGCTTGGAAACCCTATGGGGCAGTTCTACTCTGTCCTAGAGGGTCGCTATGAGTTGGAACCAGCTTGATGGCAATGGGTTTGGTTTGGTTCGTCAGTACTCCAAAGTTGGAATTTTGTTTTTAATTAGGGTTGATTCATAAAGGACTACCCCTAAGTGCTGAAGGAATCACATTCATTCATTTCACTCAATAAACTTGTAGGTCCAGACATTTTACTAAATGTTAGGGATAAAAAGAAGCTTAAGATATGGTTTTTTCTCAGTTTAGTCGGGAGTACACAGATGATTACAATGCAGTAATAGAGTATCAACTGCGCATATTCCCAGCTCTCGGTTTTCTAGCTGAGCATCCTTGGGTAGTTAGCTAACACCTGACAATGGTGTCAGGTATTTGAAAGAGACAGTCCGTGAATTCCTAACTCAGGACCCGATATTAAACGCTCGATAGTTAGTTATTATTATTATTAACAGAATCACGCTGAAGAGGGAAGAAACTTCTGTCAGACTGCCTGAGTAATCAGAAAGTGCGAGAATTTGCATTTTTAACGTTCTCCAGGTGATTTATATACACAACAAAGTTTGTGACTCACACTTAGTCTGGGTGATGGAGAACCCTGGAAGGTTTCTGAGCAGGAACATTCACTCTTCATAAGGCGCTAAAACAAGAAGGGGCTGCAGCCCAGAGAACCACCACCGGAATCTTTCCTGTCAGCTCTACTTTCCAGCACGGTTGTGCCTGGACTACATCTCCCAGGATGCCTCTTTGCTAGAGCTCCCGCAGGATTGGGCAGAATAACGCGGAAGGGATTACGGGTCTCCCAGCAACGGATGAAGTCCTGGACACTGACAGGATGCGCACGTCCCTTCTCGGCAGCCCAGTTTGACGAAGCTCCACTCCATCTCCAGAAACGTGCAATGTTCTCCGGCTTCTACTTCCAGCCGAGTGGCAGTGCGACCTCCTAGGCGCTTTCACTACGCTTCTCCTCGGGCCCCGCCCATTTCCAGCTGGCAGTTTTGAAACTCTGGAGACTGGATTACAGCTACGGAATCAGCTGCTCGGCTTTGGGCGGCGCAGTGCGCAGGCGCGAGCGGTCGGGGGCCAACGCGCTCTGCGCTTGGTTGAAGCGGGAGTTTCTGGGTGAGGAGACCCGGCAGCCGGCGACTCAGCGAGTGGGTAATCGAGCACCTCCTCACCCCGCCATGGCAGCCCTGCGCTACGCGGGCCTGGACGACACGGACAGCGAGGACGAGCTGCCTCCGGGCTGGGAGGAAAGAACCACCAAGGACGGCTGGGTTTACTATGCCAAGTAAGGGGGCCGCAGTGGGCGCCGCCGGGCTAGGACGCACCTGGAATCCTGACGGCCTCACGTGCCCGGCCACTCCACTGCCCTCGCACTCCACCTGCGCGTCACCGCGGGCTTGCCTGGCGAGGGCGGTGCGCGGTGGAAGTAGTTGCTAAAGAGTTTCAGCTGAAGGGTTTCGCCGGTTCCCGAGCAGGGGCCGGCCCCCATTCTGGAGCCCTGGGTCAAGCGAGGGTCACCTGGCAACGTCCAGGTGCGCCCTCTGCTGTTTAGAAGGCAGCACTGCACGGCGCAGTGGTGGGCAAACTGGCCTTATCCAAAAACAGAATACAGAAAATAAAACAACGTGTAGATGTCCAGGTCCCTTCTCAGGGGTCTGGGGTGGGGACGTGGGAGTATGTACTTTTTAACAAATGTCCTACAGAGTTTCATTATCCTTTCCTGGGAAAGTGCTGGAAACAGTAGCAGAGGCTTCAGAGTCTTGGCCCCGTCATTTACTGTGTGACCTTGGGAAATTGAAAGAACACTTAAGTATTGGTTTCCTTATCTGTAAAATGGGTTGATATGAGAGTTCAGGCACTATGCATAAAGCACTTAACAGAATGTGTCATAAATACTACTAATAAAAACTAATAATTGCTCAGTAACTGTTAACTGTCCCGCTGTCTCTGCAGCTAGAGAGTGCCTTAAGTACAGATTTTGGGTCTCTACAAGGCCCCTCTTTTACACTGACTTGGGTGACTGGTCTTGACTGACTTCCATAGCTGGAGGGTACTTCTTTCCAGATCTGTCCAGTCCTGCTGGGCTCTCTGTTCTTTGATCTTTCCTAACCCTGGACTCTCAACAGTCTCCTTGATCTCTCCTGACCTGTGAGTGTCTCTGGTCTTTCTTTTCCCTCCTAACTCGGGAAGGGTCACTAGTCCTTCTCTTGGGGGCTGGGAAACTTTGATAATGTGCTCTCATGAAGACTGTCTTCAAGCCATTTCCTTTTTCCAGCATGTCTTCCTCTTGCTGCAGCAGGGCCAGGCCCAAGGCCAGGGCTGGTGCACAGAAGCTGTAGCTCCTGTTGAGACCTCTGGGGCCTTGTGGAAATTCCTTTCCCAGCTTTACCCCGTTCCTGCTTACCTGCTCACCTTTACTGCATGCCCCACGGTGTACTGATAGACCCCCAAAGACACCCACATCACATGGAACCCCCACCAGCCTGGGGTCCCCAGGGAGAGGCAGTCATTCCCTGTTTCTGGGGTCTTACCAAGTAAGGGGAGCTCTGGGACATTCCCACCTGCTGAGGGCAGACCTGCTGCCAGAGAGAGCTGGCCAGTCCTTTCTTCTCTCCCTGTAGTGGTCTAAAGAGGCTGCTCTGTGGGAGATGGGGTGGAGGAATGAGGTCCAAGTGCCAGGGCCTTCCTGAATCCTTCCCACCCTCCCTTCCTCTTCTGCAGCCCAGGCCTCTTGGCTGTCAGAGGACAGCTAACCTTTCCCTGTTGGAAGACAGTTCTCTTCCACGGGAAGCTCACCTGGGCTCTTCCTCACTGTGAGCTCTAGATCTCGGTGCCAACTTTACAGAAACGATGCTTAAAAAAACAAAAAACTTGGAAGAACATCCCTGAAAGTGATGTTCACGTAATGTAGTATAAATGTAATTTTGACCCCTTTGGTTTAAATTAAAATTATTTAATTATTTCTTTAAATGACAAAAAGCTTATTGAAAGAAAAAAAAAATAAAAGAAGGCTTCTAGTTAAGAAAGATAACACTTTGGGGACATGTTGTAATTTACTCTTTATTAAAAACTCATTTTAGGTTACAATTAAAAAGAACACCTTTTTTTTTCTGAGACCAAATTGCAACAGTTTATTAGTGAAAATTATATACAAATTTTATGCTACTACACGTGAGCATCTCTTGCTTTATACACCTAAAAGAACACCTTTTAATTAATTTTTCCATGTAAGTATTTACTTTGAAAAAAAATGCTTTTATGTGAAAGGTACAGTTCTGAGTTCTTCACATATGTTAGCTTATTCAGCCCTTTCTATAACCCTGAGTAGTTGTTACCATAGGGATGCCTGGTGGTGCAATGTTAAGCGCTCAGCTGTTAACCAAAACTTGTGAGCAGTTCGAACCCACCAGTGGCTCTATGGGAGGAAAGACCTAGCAATCTGCTCCTGTAAAGATTGCAGCCTAGGAAACCCTATGGGGGCATTGTATTTTCTCTCTTGGGGTCACTGTGAGATGGCACCTAACAACAGCAACAGATGTTACTGTTATCTCCATTTTGCTGATGAGGAAACTGAAGCACAGGGAGGTTAAACAATTTTTTCCAGGGCATGCAGCTGGTAAGCGGGAGAGCCAATCTCCGGAGTCCTCAACCACCAAATTACTCTCTTCACTTAGACCCGGGGTTCTTCACTGGGGTCAGCTGTGCCCATCAGGATGGATGTGTGCCACAGGCTACAGATCTGAGCCCTGTGTGCCCCTAGCGGGAACTTGAGGTCTATCTCTGGTTATTATTGTCTTTGGTGGGGCTGGGATTGGGGATTATTGTCCAGTGACCCACTTCTTCCTATCCAGGGGAGAACGTGCTTTAAAGATCCCCAGGGCAGATTGGGAAAGGTACGTGCAAGCTGAGAAATCGAATGAGGCAAGGGCCTGCCCACTCTGACCTGGTGTGATACTTCCTGTCCTGCAGGTCACTTGGCTTCTCTCATCCCTTTTTCTTGTCCTTTGCCTGATCCCACCCTCTCTGGCCCTGGTTTCGCATTGTCAGCCTCACCATTGTTGAGAAAGTGGCCTCGTTTCTTCTGGCTCCCATGAGGCCACAGCTTCTGTCTCCCATTGTGTGCGCTGCACCATTTCATGACCGTGTGTCTGTCCCCCACCAGGCTGTGAACTCATTTGTTCATTCATTCATTCAGTTGTTCCTTCATTCATCAGGTATTTCTTGAGCTCCTGCCATTGGCCAGGCACTGTCCAGGCTCCATAGTGAACAAGCCAGAAATACCTGCCTTCATGGAACTGTGTGTTGGAGATAAATAAGCTGGCAAACAAAATCATTTCAGTTAGTGATGGGGCTCTAAAATACAACAAAATATAAGCAGGGCAAGGAATTGGGGGCTGATGGGGTGAAGCTGCAGTTGGGTGGGCCTGGGAGGGTTCGCTGTAGCCAGCGGGTGAAAGATGCCTTCCTGGAGGAGGTGAACTTTGACCAGAAACATGAGAATGAGCCAAGCAGGAAGATCTGGGGCAGGAATATTCCAGGTAGAGACAACAGCCAGGACAAAATCCCTGAGGCAGGAGTGAGCAAGGTAGGGTTGAGGTTAGGTAGAGGCCAGTGTGACTGAAGCGGTGGGGGCAGGCACTGGCAAGACAGTGATGGGACATAGGGAGGCACAGGCCCTGGTGTGAATAAATGAGGTATGGGAGGAGGGAAGAAACTACATTGACATCAGCATAAAGGCCTGTGGCATGATTTCATATTGATGGAAGATTGTAGTAAGACTGAGACCTTTCTTCCCTTCCCTTCCCTTTCCTCCCTCTTCCCCTTCTCTTTCTCCTCCTCTTGTTCCTCCTCCTCCTTCCGCACTAGCCTATAGAGGTAGGCTTTCAGGAGATTTTCACAGGATTGCATTTCCCTACAACTTGGGGAATTTGACCTGATGTAAACAGTAAGATTTCTATTCTAAATATTTCTTCCTTGAATGTCTGACTTTACTACTTTTAAGTGGTAGTATAATCTGGGAGGGAAAACATTTAATGCTATTGATTATTTTTTAGAAGTGTAACTCTAGCTGATTATTGTTTTGTGGATTTTTTAACAGTCACACGGAGGAGAAGACTCAATGGGAGCATCCAAAAACTGGAAAAAGAAAAAGAGTAGCAGGAGGTTTGTATGTTGTTGTCATCATAAACCAAAGAACCTTGTATTTATAGCATTAATTAGACAGGTAACATGTCACAGGCAGAGAGGTGACAGGTCACTATGTCATTTTGGGACAGCTCTCTGTAGAGAGCCATCAAGGAACTGGACTCTTAGGAGTTACAGGATTTGGCAGAAGGAGGTGATGAGATGTCGAGGTGGAGTGAGGATGATTTCTTACTGGTCTTAAAAAAGGTGTTAAAATAATGAGTGTTTTTTTCTTCTTTTTTTTTTGTTTATTGTTGTAGTTAAGTGAAAGTTATGTGACCCTGATTGCTCCTACTATACTGTGACAGCACACTCCTCCTTTCCACCCTTAATTTCCCATGTCCATTCAACCAGCTCCTAACCCTTTCTGCCTTCTCATCTCACCTCCGGATAGAAGCTGCCTGTTTGGTCTCATGTATCTACATGAGCTAAGAAGCACCCTCTTCACAAGTATTGTTTTATGTCCCACATTCAGGTCCAATCTTTGTCTGAAGAGTTGGCCTCAGAAATTGTTTTAGTTCTGAGCTGACAGAGAGTCCGGGGGCCATGCTTTCCAGGGTTCCTCCAGTCTCAGACCATTAAGTCTCGTCTTTTTGCTAGAATTTGAGTTCCGCACCCCACCTTTCTCCTGCTCCATCAGGGACTCTCTGTTGTGTTCCTGTCAGGGTGGTCATTGGTGGTAGCTGGGCATCATCTAGTTCTTCATAATCAGAGTCCTTGACTCATGTTTCCTATGGTCTGTTTGTAAAAATTGTTCTTGGTTCATATCACGGAATTAAAGATACGAGTATTTTATGGAATTCCACAAAGATCTCCATGCCTTCTGGGTGCTTCTTTTTGAAAGTGGGAGATCCGTGGAATAGAAGTACAAGAAGGTCCTTGCCCTCAAAGGCTTTAGGGTCCAGTTGAAGAGACAAGATGTAAACGTGGAAAAAAAAAAAAAAAGAAAAGAAACTGCTTGATAATATTGCAAAAGAGATGCCACAAGTCAGCATATGAACAATGTGTTGTGTTCCTGCTATCCATATAGACATGTTCTGTGAATTCATCCAAGTGAGAATTCATGTTGATTGGAGCATCTGGAAAGGTTCATGGCAGAAACAGGAGATGGATGGAGCTTTTAAGACTGAGCAAGAATGAGATAGGGTTTTCTTTAAAAGCAAGAGACACAAATGTGTGGTCCAGTTGGAGTAATGGGCCTTGTGCAACGGCCACGATCAGATTGCATGACTTCAGTATGTTGAAGCTGTTGGTCTGATGAGATAGGCTTAGAGAGCTTGGACTGGCCAGGTATGGGCCTCTCCCTCTTTCCTGGGAATCCTGGGGAGGGGGCTTCCATTTACCCTGCCACACATCAACTTATCAGTCTTTCCTGTGTTTCAGACCTGCCATACGGATGGGAACAAGAAACTGATGAGAATGGACAGGTGTTCTTTGTCGAGTAAGTGTCTACATAGAAACTATTCTTGACCATCTTGCTTTTTAATAGATTTGACTAGAAAAATATGAAGTATATGATCATAATGTTATTGGCAGGAATAACTACTACAATTTTTGGATTAACTCTTCCAGTCTGTTCTCTATGCAAAAAAAAGAATGTACTATGTGAATTGCTTAGTAACCAGCTTTTCCCACATAATATGTTGTGAGCATTTTCTCATATTTTTCAAGATGACAATATTTAATGGCTATAGAGTATTTTGAGGAGCCTCGGTGCTGCAGCGGTTAAGTGCTCAGCTGCTAACCAAAAGGTTGGCGGTTTGAACCCACCAGCTGCTCTGAGTGAGAAAAGACCTGGCAGTCTGCTTCCTGAAAGTTCACAGCCTTGGAAATCCTATGGTTTCCCTGTCCTGTAGGTTTGCTGTGAATCGGAATCAACTTGACGGTAATGGGTTTACAGAGTATGTATTTTGTACAGATATACTATAATTTATCAAATTACCTATTGAGCACTGATGTTGTTAAATTCCTGTCATTGGACATCTATAATTATGAATAATATTTTGGGCATCCTTGTCTCTAAAGGAGCCCTGGTGGCACAGTGGTTAAGAGCTCGGCTGCTAAACATAAAGGTTGGCAGTTTGAATCCACAAGCAGCTGCTTGGAAACCCTGTGGGGCAGTTCTGTTCTATCCTGTAGGGTTGCTATGAGTCAGAATCGACTCGATGGCAGAGGGTTTTTTTTTTTTTGGTCTCTAAAACTTTTTCACCTCTCTGATTCTGTCCTTGGAATAAATTCCAATAACAAGAATATTAACCACTTATCAAGCATATAGCATGAGCCAGGCACGGTTCAAATAACCTTATATCTGCAGTATTAGCTCATTCAGTCCTCACAGTAACCCTAAGGGGCAGTACTGTTATTATCCATGCTTTGCTGCTGATGACACAGACTGAGCAGGTAAGTGACTTATTAAGGATCCCACAGTGAGTAAGTGGCAGAGCCAGGATTTGAACCCAAGTGGCTGCTCCAGACTCTGCCCTCTTGACTACTGTAGTCAAGAGAAGAATGAATGTTTGGTTTTCTTTTTTATGGAGTTAGGATTTGTTAGTTAATAGAAGTTGATTTAAGCAAGGAGTTACTTTTTTAGAAAAGGTATGTATGTAACATAAACATTTTATTTTAACGTTCTGTTAAAATACACCAAGCTTTTGGGGTGGGGCCAGACCTGCTCTGAATATGCACCTGCTGCTTGAACTGCAGTGTGGTCTTTGTCCCCAAAGCATAATGTAGCTTAAAGTAGGACACCCATAGCATAGCTTCTGCAATTTCCAGTTTCTTTAAAGTTGAGCAAAAACTTAACTTTTCAAAAAAATCTGAGTGCTGAATCTTTCTGGATTTTTTATGGTGTTTTCAGTGTACCTGATTGAACTAAAACTTTTTTTAGCTACTTGTCTTTAAGACTTCCCGAAGCATTCATAATACAGTGACACTTTCTTTTCCCCTCACATGGTAATAGTTCTCAAGGCATAAGGACTTTAGGAACAACCTAGTGAACTCTTGATGCATAACTAGTATTGAGAGCAAAAGGACCATGGGTTGCATGTCTCTCAGCTGCTGTGAGCAGCCACAGAAAGGAGACTGGCAGGTTGGATGTGTGAAGTATGTTTGTTATCTCCTGTTAGTTGGTAGTGTAGTGATTAAGTGTTTGGCTGCTAACCAAAATGTCAGCAGTTCGAATCTACCAGCCACTCCTTGGAAATCCTGTGGGGCAGTTCTACTGTGTCCTATAGGCTTGCTTTGAGTTGGAATTGACTCACCGGCAAAGGGTTTGGTTTATTAGTTTGTAAAAGTTTTTCTTAATAAATTATGGATATCAGCCCTTTGGTTATATGTTGCAGATGTTTTGCACCCATGCTTAGAAATGAGTGTTACTCTTAACTGACCTATAGCAGTGGATCCCAAAGTATGGTTCCCGGAGCATCAGCATCATCTGGGAACTTACTGGAAATGCATATTCTTAGGAATGTATTATTGGAATTTATTCCATTCCAGAGTTTTTCCTGAATGAGAAACTTGGGGTGGGGCCCTCCAGTCTATTTTTTAACAAGCCCTTCAGGTGGTTCAAGGAGGCCTGGTGGTGCAGTGGTTAAAGTGCTCAGCAGCTTACCGAGAGGTTAGTGGTTCGAAACCACCAGCTGCTCCATGAGAAAAAAATGTGGTAGTCTGCTTCTATAAAGATTTATAGCCTTGGAAACCCTATGGGGCAGTTCTACTCTGTCCTGTAGGGTCGCTATGAGCTGGAATCCACTCGATGGCAGTGGGTTTGGTGGTGGTTTCAGATGATTCTGATGTACTGTAGTTTGAGAACCACTGATTTTCTCTAGAACAGGGGTTGTCAGACTTTTTCTGTTAGGGAGCAGATAGTATATATTTTAGGTTTTGAAGGCCATATGGTTTCTATCACAACTACTCAACTCTGCCATCATTGCATGAAAGCAGCAATAGACAATATGTACATTAATGGATGTGGCTGTATTTTAATAAAACGTTATTTACAGAAACAGGTGGTGGGCTGGATTTGGCCTCTTGGACCATAGTTTGCCAACCCTGGTCTAGCGTAGCGGAACAAGCAGGGACTTTGCAGTCCAGCTAGAGCTGGGTTGAATCCTAGCCACCCCCCCGCCCCCAGCTAGTCACCTGACCATTCTGAGCTTGTTAACAGTGGCATGCTGGTAAATGTTTACCAACCAGCTCTCTATAAAAAACCTTTGATTTGTTTTCATGATGTAAATGCTTCCACCGTAGCTGAGTTCAGGCTGCCAATGTGAAGTCACTGTGGAGCTGGGAAGAGATAGGCACGTTTGATTCTTGTGAGCCAGTGTGAGCCAGCTTCAGTACACTGCTGCTGTATTGTCTGCATATAACATTGGAGTCATCATGCTTATTTGGCAGGCTATGATTATAATTAAAATAAAGACTGGCTTATTCTTGGGTCTTAGTATTTATTGGGTAAAGAGTACAGATTTTTAAACTAAATGTAATTTTATAAATATATACGTATATAATATGTATAATATATAACCATATATATAAATAATGTTATACATGCATATATTTGTTACATGTTACACGTATGTATGGAGCCCTGGTGGTGCAGTTAACCACCAGGGCTCCATAGAACTCAGGCTGCTAACCAAAAAGTCGGCAGTTTAAAAGTACCAGGCGCTCCTTGGAAACCCTGTAGGGCAGTTCTCCTCTGTCCTGTAGGGTCACTATGAGTTGGAATCCACTTGATGGCAACAGGTTTGGGTTTGGTTATGTATATCTTGTTCCATTTGTGCATTGGGTCGCCATGAGTTGGGGGCTGACTCAACTGCAGCTAACAACAGCAACAATAAAACGTGTTACAAATTATATATTACAAATACATTGTAAATTCTGCAATCTTATTTATTGTTATTTCTGGAGAGTTTTTAATAGTTTTTAAGATGTTTTGAGATCTATTTATTCAAAATCTCAAGAATACATTTAAAATGTAAAAAATTCTGTTACGTACCAAAAACCAAACCCATTGCCATTGAGTCAATTCCAATTCAAAGCAACCCTAAAGGACAGAGTAGAACTGCCCCATAGGATTTCTAAGGAGTGCCTGGTAGATTCAGGCTGCCAGCCTTTTTGGTTAGCAGCTGTAGCTCCTAACCACTATGCCACCAGGGTTTCCTCTGTTACATAAGGAGTAACCTATTAATCCATATGTATGAATATATTTTAATATTTTCTTTATAAGATTTAGATAAACTCCAAATCAAAATTAGTTCAGTGTTAAAATGAAAAATCATTAGAATTTAGTAGTTGGCCAGTTTTGTATTTACTTAAGGCTCATATTTCTGAGGTTTCTTACTTCTCTGCCAATCTTAGGATGGTGTACAGGGCTAAGTGATTGAATTGGAGATCTGCTGAAAAGAGTGGCTGACAGATCGTATAGCTACATTTGCATGAATTAAAAAAGAAAGACTTCTCAAGAAGGCTTTTTTGAGATCTAAGGCCAGAAGGCAAAGGTTACTGTATATTACCGTGTCTTTTACAGGTAATTCTATAGAAAAGAATTCGATGACTGTCTTTCTAGGCAGGAGTGTTATCCTTCATGAGGCCAGAGGATAAAAGGGGCCCAGTTCTTTTCAGTGTTAAGAATAAGCCTTTTGGTAAATGAGAAATGGGATTTTCCTGAACTAGGAGATTATTTTATAGTTCTAAATGCTGTGTTCACAGCTATGGCTTAATATAAAATACTCTTCCCTTCTCTTTGCAGTCATATAAATAAAAGAACCACATATTTGGACCCAAGACTGGCATTTACTGTGGATGATAATCCGACGAAGCCAACCACCAGACAGAGGTATGATGGCAGCACCACCGCTATGGAAATACTCCAGGGCCGAGATTTCACTGGAAAAGTGGTCATCGTTACTGGAGCCAATTCAGGAATCGGTAGGCTGTTACAATGATTTTATTTTATTTTATTTTTTGTGTGACTGCTATAAATGAAATCCACATAAATCTAATGCAGTGAAAGTTTTGGTAGTGATTCTATAATTTAAAAATATATTTATAGTCCTTTTCAGCTACCGTTTCATTAAAATCATGACCTCTTTTTTAAATGCCAGTGTTATCATGGAAGGCCGTGTTGGAGCTGACCTTGAATTCTCTAAAAGCTGAACACTCAGCAAAAGGTTGTGCCTATTTTGGTATTCAGGGATTAGAGACAACAGGCTCAGCCTAAGAGTTTTTGACCTGGTCTATGTGGTGTACGGACATATTCCAATTACCTGGGTTATTCAAACCAAAATTGATTGGTAATGGAATATGTGGAACAACAACGTATCATGACTTTGGAACAAAAGATACTGCAGGTTTTGATTGGTCACTGAGAATATCATTTTCCTTAGGGAAAAGGATCTTATTTCTTTGTAAAATTGGAGAATAAATTAGTTCTTGTCATAACCTCTAACGTAACCCTCTCAATTGCTAGAGTTTAGTTACAGTGATTACCATGAGGTGGATGGCTTGTGTGTGCTGGGGGCGGTTCCTTCCTCTAGCAGGGTCCCCGAAGCATCATAGGCTGGTAAAGAAGCAGAGGCGAAGCAGATGGTACCATAACTCTTCATATGATTTTGTTTGGACCCATTACATCAATATCTGCATCAGTAAGAGTCAATTGCTTTTAGTTAGGATATGCATCTTCAGAGAAATTTAGATAAAAAGCATGAAGTTTCATGGACTGTCTTCTCTCAAGTCCTCTGTGTCTGATTGCCCGCCCTACAGCCCCCCTGATGCCACCTGTTGGCTATCTGTCTCCTATGCTTGTGTCTTCTCACCCCTTCATGCATCACTTCCATGCCCTTCTTTCTCTGCCTCCCTTAATTTTGAATGACTCTTTCAGCCTTCTGGAAGCATTCCCTAGCATCGGGGAAGCACAGAAGATAAGAATGCATTCTTAAAGTATATAGTATAAGGTCTAAAATTTGATAGGCTACAGTCCCAGAGCAGAACTTTTGACTGCACTTGTCTATCAGGATAAAGAAGCAAATGGAATTTAAAAAAAAAAAAAAAAACCTGAAAGATTTATTTAAAATCAACTTTCAGACCTCATCCTGGAGTTTGAATATGTTTAGTCCAGTTGTCTGAACCTCTGCATTGGGATAAATTCTGTGTAGCTATTGATGTCAAAACTCATGACACTATATTCAAAATAATGGCCAGATCCTCAGTCATCCAAGAAACAATATATTGTTTTGATTATATTGACTACTGTTATGGCGAGAGTGTGAATGGACTAGTATAAAAACAACAACAACAAAAAAAACTTTGTTGCTGTTGAGTCGATTCCGACTCATAACGACCCTATAGGATAGAGTAGAACTGCCCCATAGTGTTTCCAAGGAATGGCTGGTGGATTTGAACTGCTGACCTTTTTGTTGGCAGCTGAGCTCTTAACCACTAAGCCACCAGGGCTCAAATGGACCAATATAGTGTAGAATAATTTAAAAAAATAAGGACTTAAACAAGCACTTAAAGATCCTTTTTTTTTTTTTTTTAATTTAACACTCAGTTAACCAGAAAATTAAAAGATCTCATTCCCTTAATCTTCTGGCTAGACTGTTCTTTAATTAGTAAAATATGTTTTTGCCATGTAATTATTTGGTTATTTTCCATGTAAGTGTTCAGACTTTGCTCTGATGTTAGATAACATACATTTGAATATGGCTAATAGTCTTCCAAAGATTTATAGCACCAGGCTAATACAGGAATAATATAATGGTTCAGAATGTAAAAAGAGCTTCATTTAGTTTGATATTTAATTATGATAGAGAAGGAGATTCTGAAACATTGCAGAATAAATGTGTCGTTGGTCAGCATGGATCTCAAACCCTTTGAGAAAAGCCCCCAAATCTTTGTACCTCTTTACAGCTCCCACTTCCTCTTGGAGGCCCTTCCTTCCTGATGTTCGTAATTTATTTTGTGGGTACTGCAAGTCAGTGTCTGTGGTCCAGTTGAACATTGTGCGCAAATCATAAAACTCAGGACAGAAGGGATATTATGGAAGGTCTTAGGGAGACCAGTTCTTCCTATTCAAACACCCACAGCTCTTCCTGAGCTCTACCTTCCCTCAGAAATTGCCTTTAACACAGCATCTCACCTCATTTACCCTTTCCACTCTTCCGAAGCATAAGTCTAGGTGAGTGCTGGAGATTTTTATTCTTAATTTTTGAAATAATTTCATACTGAACATTCCAGTCAATCAAATACTTGGAAATAACTTTCTCTCTGCACCAGTAGTATCAGGCATGAAGAAAAGAAGCAGCTGCAGATAGGCACATGGCTTTTCGTCCTAAGTTAACTTTTATATCCTGCATGGCTGCCTTAGAATGTGTCCTTGCCCAAGTAGGCTGTAGCTTCTAGATAAAGTTCTTCATTCTACTGAACTATGAAACATGCTAATTTATAAATTGCTATCACTCCTTATTTCTGCCCATTTCAAATGAAATAGCTGAATTCAGAGTGAATTGGGCGTCTTCATTTCCACTTCTGGACATTCAAGAGTCATCTTCTATCATAGTTTTAATGATGTTGGAATTCCCTTACCTTTTGCCACTCAGTGATGCCTGCTTCTTATCTATAAGCTGTTAAATCTTTAGCCTTGTGAATTTCTGGTCTCTTTGAAGTAGACTGGGCTGAAAGAAAACATATTCATATTTATTTTGAGAGTGGTGACTCCACAGCTAAAACGCATAGATGTCTACTTTGCTTCAGACACTGACTTGCAAATCTGATATTTCCAATGGTTCTGTTATTTTCTTTTTTTAATTCTCTACAAGGCAGGCATTGCTTTGTTGGAATTGCCAGCGGTGAGGATCTCTCAGTTGTGGAAAGGGACAGTGAGGTGGTTGGAGGGGACATCTCTTCCTTGACGGACTTTAGGGTTTGACTAGGACATTGCTCTGTTTGAAGTGACCTCTAATCAGATTTTTTTGTCTTCTCCCTGGTTCCCGTTACAAGTGATGTAGAGCTACATTTTGAATTTGTGATGTTTGATATTACTGAGGCAATTGGAGGGAAACTTAATTTAACTCAAAAAGATCAGGGTGATTCTGGAAGATACAAGGAAGATTCTGAGGAAATGTCAGATTCTGAGGAAATGTCAGAATAAAGCACTATGGATTCAGTTAACGTTTGGGTCATGTGTTACCATTGACTGGGTTCAGCTCTCTAAATCAGGGGTTGGCTAACTATGGCCTGCTGCCTAATTTTGTAAATAAAGGTTTATTGGCTGACACTCATGTCTGTTTGTTTCCATTTTGTGTATGGCTGTTTTTGTGTTACTAGTAAGGCTGAGTAGTTGAACAGAGACCGTTTGGCCTGCAAAGCCAAAAATATTTGCTATCTGGCCCTTTAGAGAAAAAGTTTGCACTAGGTGATTTAATCACTTTAAAAGTAAGATCATACTAACATTCTCTAAATTGGCCACTGTACTAATAAATGGTTGCCCCCAGGCCACGTGAAGATTGTGTCAACATATCATATGTCACTGCTGGGGGTGTCCCACCAATATCCTGTAACCCTTGCCTCAACTCTGTTCCCTGTTTTCTTAGGGAGTTGCAAGGCCTAGGATATTGACTCCTCAGAAACTAATACTCTTCTCTCCTTGACCTTTGTTTAGCCAGCTTTCTGAACCTGAAGAACTTGTAGATTGAAAGCTGTAGATTGTGGACCTCTCTGTGGAGTTCAGCATCTCAGTATCCAGGGGGAAGCCATCTCTTCACCCAAAGCTTCTGCTAGGAGACCAAGCGACCTGGAACCCCTCAGTCCAGACTGCTAACCAGTAGAGACAAGGGGAGGAGTTCATTTCTATGTATGTTCACTTAGCACCGAGCAGGGAGGGGCAGGCTTTTCATGACTCTGGAGTTAGCAGCTTGATGGCTCTGATTTGGTATAAATGAATGGAAATGGCTTCAACATGGTGACCATTAAATACAAATCTTATTGTGAAGGCTCAGGAGAAGAATGTTGTAGGCTAGGGAATTTCACACTACTAGGTTCTCTTTTAGACTCAACCTGTCAATCTAACTAATTTGGTTATGCATATAAATAGTTCAGTATAAAATTCTGCCTCCTTGAGTCTGCAGCCTGACATTTGCTCATCAAAGACAGGATCCTTCACATAAGCCCTAACGAGGGTGCAGTTGAATGCCTATGCATGGGACAGTGCCAGCCCTGTTCCCTATCTCCTGTTGGGGACATTTGTTGGAACTTATGTAGGTGGCAGCAGTGAGCGAGAGCAGTTTATCATCATATTTAAGGAATGACAACCAGGTTTTGTCAGACATACTCATATATTTAAGAGCTGTTAACAAGTATGAGCCCATTAGATATTTTCAGTCCAGTGTTCAGTGGTAATGATGATAAAACTTTCTTCTTAACTTCCACTCTTAAACCAGTAGCAGTTAAAATTAGATTTTTAGATCCTTTTCAGAGTTTAGTCGGGATGAAAAATTCCTTTCACCTTTTGAACCTTCATAATGCTGGGCTGTACCAAATGTGGTGACTTGAAATCTAGAATAGCCTGGCCTGGTTAGGTTTTTGAGCCAGAGGAGCCATTAACAAGAGCAAAACTGTTTTTCTTCCTGAACAAGTTGTCCCCGTTGGTATATATCAGTAAAATGTATTTAAGGAATGGCACTTCAATTTTCTATTGGTATTTATGTTATATAATCATCTCTCTAGGGGCTGTTACAGGGATTCTAATACATATTGAAATTTATGTATTTTATGATATAAAAAATATATTTTCCAGCTATCAAATTCATGCTAAAATTTGCTCTACTTGAAACAGATGAAGGTATCAGATTTCTATGCAGGGAATCCCAAATGTTATTATAGGATAATGTTGAAATTTTGGTAGTCTTGGCTTAGAGAGCCCACTTTTAAAA